CCAGAAAGGGCTGCTGGCTGTGCTGTTTTCTGCTTTAACATTGTCCAATCAACTATGTAGTCATATCGGTAGTTCAGGGTTCTGATAAGAATGTGGATGTGCCCTAGCTGGTGTGTCAGTGGATAGAGCATCAGCCTGTGGACTAAAGGGTCACAGGTTTGATTCCGGTCAAGGGCACATGCCCAGGTTGCAGGCTCGATTTCCAATAGGGGGCATGCAGGAGGCAGCCGATCAGTGATTCTCTCCCATCATTGATGTTTCTCTCTCTCTCTCTCTCTCCCTCTCCCTTCATCTCTGAAATCAATAAAAAATCCTATATAATAGGCTAATATGCAAATTGTTCCCAACTGAGAGTTCAACTGCGAGTTAAACCGGGAGTTCGACCAGAGGGCAGGGCCAGCGGCCAACCGCCCATGCATGAATTCATGCACTGGGCCTCTGGTCCTATATAATAAAAGCCTATTATGCTAAGTGTCCAGTTGTCTGGTGACTGGTCGACTGTTCAACCAATCAAACATAATATGCTAATGATATGCTAAGGCTGCTCAATCGCTTGCTATGATGTGCACTGACCACCAGGGGTCAGACAGTTGACCAGTCAACCAGTTGCTATGATGTGCACTGACTACCAGGGATAGATGCACCCGACCGGTAGGTTAGCTTGCTGCTGGGGTCCGGCCAATCGGGACTGAACAAGATGGGCCGGACACGCCCTGGAGCCCTCCTGCGGTCTTCCTTGGCTGGCCAACCTTCCGCGTCCCTCCCCGGCCAGCCGGCCCCGATTGGCCCCAATTGGGACTGGGCAAGACGGGGCCAGACACACCCTGGAGCCCTCCCACGGTCCCTTCCCAGCCCAATCGTGCACTGGTGGGGTCCCTTGGCCTGGTCTGTGCCCTCTCGCAATCTGGGACTCTTCGGAGGGTGTCAGTGAGCCGGTTTAGGCCCGATCCTGCAGGCCACTCCCCCTGGGAGGGCACCAGACCCAGAAGTCACAGCTGGCAAGTGCTACTGCAGCAGCATGAGCCTCGACCCATCGGGACTGATAGGGTGCGAGCCCGCGGCAGGTGCAGTGGGGCCAGGATGAGCGGGAGCAGCAGGTAGGAGCTGCAGGCGGTGTTGGACTGCGGGTTTCGGCCTGATCCCCGCAGGCCACCCTGAGGGACCCCACCCATGCACAAATTTGTGCACCGGGCCTCAAGTATATATATATTTAAAAAAGAAACCCCGCCGAAACCGGTTTGACTCAGTGGATAGAGCGTCGGGCTGCGGACTGAAAGGTCCCAGGTTCGATTCTGGTCAAGGGCATGTACCTGGGTTGCGGGCACATCCCCAGTGGGAGATGTGCGGGAGGCAGCTGATCGATGTTTCTCTCTCATCAATGTTTCTAACTCTCTATCTCTCTCCCTTTCTCTCTGTAAAAAATCAATAAAATATATTAAAAAAGGAAACCCAAAACACTAATTGAAAAGATTTTTTTATAAGTGAAAGTAAAAAAGGAAGAAAGATTAAAGAAGCCAAGGTAGAATGAGCACTCAGAATTGTATGTTCTCCAAAACTATTTGCATTGCATCCATCAACAAAATGTACTAGAAGCCATTATTTACTGAGCACAATATTTTTGGTTTTTTCCAGAGAGGACGGGAAAAGTTAGCTTGCTGCTGGGGTCCGGCCAATCGGGACTGAGCAAGATGGGCCGGACACGCCCTGGAGCCCTCCTGCAGTCTTCCTTGGCTGGCCAACCTTCCGCGTCCCTCCCCGGCCAGCCGCCCCGATTGGCCCCAATTGGGACTGGGCACAATATATTTAAAAAACGCATGATAAAGTTCTTGCCTTTAGGGAGCTCTCAATTTAGAAAGGACATTAGTAAATAATTACAATAGAAGGTATAGAGCAGGGGTGGGCAAACTTTTTGACTCGAGGGCCACAATGGGTTCTTAAACTGGACCAGAGGGCCGGAACCAAAGCATGGATGGAGTGTTTGTGTGAACTAATATAAATCCAAAGTAAACATCATTAGATAAAAGGGTATGGTCTTTTTTCTTTTTTAGTTTTATTCATTTCAAACAGGCCGCATCCAGCCCGCGGGCCGTAGTTTGCCTACGGCTGGTATAGAGGGATGATTTTTCTGAGACAAGTGATTCCAAACTTGAGTCTTGAAAGACAAATAGGAATTACCAAATAAAGAGGGCTACAGATTTATGATAAAGCAAGTATGATAGAATATTAATTCTAGAATCTAGTTGATGACTATATGAGCATTCACTGTAAAACTATTCCTACTTTCAGTATATTTTTTAAAAATTTTTAATAAAACAAAAAAGAAGAATGAGAACTAGCTGTCTAGGCAGCGGGAACATCATATGTAAATACTTGCAGGTACCAGAGTTCATGTCTTGCTTGGGGAATAGTAAGCAATTCTAATTGGTGAGATATATGTGTGAGAGTAGCAAGAAAGAAGGCTGCAAAGTAATTAGGGGTTAAAAATCATGAGTGCCAGCTTACTCAAGTGTTTGGATTTTAATCTGAAAACCATGGCATGCTTACTTGTTCATATTCAATAGAGAATCATTTATGATGTTCTCTCTTCATATGGCTAACAAAGTTCCTTACTATTAACAATATCATGAAAATAGTCATCTATAAAGCATTTATACTAGAAACTTACCTGAACTATTTCATTCCCATCTCTCAGATCCCGAAGAGGACTCCTTGGGGGTTTCAAAATCTAGAAGTAAGAGAATTGTTGAAGAAAATCTGGCATATCTATTAATAATCAGTTCATTTCAAGTTATACCATAAGTAGAAAGGTAGAGATGCTAAAATTCCTGTAAAAACCTCTCATATTCCTCAAAATCATACTGTTCAGTGCTATGCTTTGTGGCTCATGTAAATATTTGGTATCAATAGGAATATCTTCTCCCTCCTGCCTACCTTCCCCAATTATTTTTCCAACTCTGATCCCACATGGTCTGGGTAAAGCTCATTTCAACCTAGGGTACAACATGTAGCCCTGGTCTAGAATAATCTACACATGATATTCTCTCGGCAATAGTGATTGCTTCAGGAATGAGGTCTTGACCCATATCAAAATAATTAAGCCAAATGATTCAACCCTGAGTTGTTTTTATCTTGAGGATATACACAATATTTTTCCATGTAGGACTTGAACCCAGAAGTAGTAAGCACACAGAACCTGTCTAATAATGGAGATTACCCAGAGAAAGCAGTCAGAGTAGAAAAAGTGAAAGATTATCCCAGTACTGATTATACTGTTGGAACCCCTTGTCAGTAAATCATGCCTAAAGTCATTCCTATCTTTGGATTTTTCAATTACATAACTCAATAAATTTTTAGCTCAAATCAGTTTAAGTTGGATATTTTTGGGTCTTGCTATAGCTTTGTATATCAGTTTAAAAAAAAAATATATAT